AGCTTCCCTGGGGATGGCTGGGGATTGTACATTTTACAAAAGCCTCAAAGCAGAAACTGTCTTTGACAGATTGTTTTCCTTTCCCATCATGTACTCTTCCATTATTCATATTATAATAAGTAGCCCAGCCAGTGAACAATTAATCAGAACTAATTCAATAATGGCTATTAAGTGACTCTGATATTTCTAAAATACATTCCTAAGCATACTGAAAATACTGTATCTCCAGTGCACAAAAGGCAGAGCTCCCCCCAGTAGCTGTTTGGAACTCTGTGCCTAATTTCATGCCCACTTGAGGATGGGGGGACCTACAGGCCTCCCATAGCCAAATGTTTCCTGAGTACCAGTTTGCATAAATGGCTCAAATTTCCCCAGGAGAGCCACTGTTGGAATTTCAGCTTTGACCTCTGGAGAATCCATAATATTAAAATGCAAATGTGTTACCTAGGAAGGTAATTTTTAACCCCTTAATGTCTATTTATTAATACTTCAACTCAAATTAGTTTTGTTTTTTGTGGTTTTTTTCCTAACTACCTAGCTGACTGAGAGCAGTACTTAAATAGAAGTGGGTCAGAGTCTGTGAGGTGGGCTAAGGGTAAGTTTTGAATAGAGGTCCTAGGGTGATGGTGACACATCCCCCACCACTGTCACCACCCAGTCTTTGCCTGAGTACCTGTGCACAAGGGTGCACATACCCACAAGCACACAGGAGACTTAGTGGTCCAGTCTCTAGGGTAGCATTGCCCAATAGAAATATAATGCATACCACATTGATAGTTTTAAGTGTTTTAGTAATCACATTAAAAAATGTAAAATGAAAAAAAGGGAAATTAAATTTAATGATATTTTATTAAACTTGATATAGAATACAAAGTACAAAATAAATTAGTTTAAAAATAAACTACTATAAAGATAATCAGTACTACCGATCTTTCCATATTTCTCTAAAAAGAAGAAAAACGACTATACCATCCAAATATATGGCATGTTTTAAGAGTAGGTTTAACTAGTTCCTAAAGTTAGGCCTTATACCTCATGTAAGTCATCCACGCACCAAGAAATCGTGAAGATACGACAGACCCTTAAGCACATTTTTATTTTTGTTGTTAACCCAAAGAAATTACTTTTAAGTATCCCACAAAGAACCTTCTACAGAAGACTCACTCCTAAAATGCACCCTCCCTAGGGTAAGGTGAGTCAATGAAAGGAAAGAGTTTTTTTTCTTCCTGCTTGTCCTCATTTCTCTTTTTGTTTTATTTAAAGTAAGCAGAAAGGACTCATTAATTAAGGCAAAGCTAAAGGAAATAAATTCAAGGTTTGCCTTGCACAGGTGAGCTGATCTTCCCACAACGGCTTATTCAAAATGCCAAGTGAGGTGCTCCATCACACTGCACCCCATCTAGTGAACCTTCCCCAGCGAGGGCTGAAGGAAGGCAGCTGTTCCATGTGTACTTTGTCCTTCCATTCACCACCACTCAAAAGCACCGTGTAACCGTTCTCACCTAAAAGAGAATCATGGAAGATCCTAACACGAAGCAACGCTTGCTATACCAGAGACGCCTTTCATGGGGATTTTGTTTAGAATGAAAGATGTAGTAAAATTGTTAAGATGTACATAAGTGGTGAATAGATATGGGATGTACTTACACATTCATGCACCAAATACTGGAAGGCTGTGAGCCACGCACAGCAAAGAAATGCACTGCGGAACCATCAATTTAGTAGGTCATTTTGAATGTAGGCAGCAAAATGGCTGTGTGCATGAGAAACCACTGCTATATTTTGAGAGCTCCTTTCTAAGAATCCTGAAATATTAATAACATGGTCTTAATGTAGTTGAAGACAAAAGAATGTGTTAAGGGTAGCAAGGATTGCCGAGAATAGCACCATGACGATTTTGAATTTTTCTGCTTGTGCTTGTAAAAGCAAGAAGAAAAAACAGTCAGTGTGTTTCTAGAACAGCAGCCTTCAATTTTACAAATGGGAATAAAATTGTATTCTTCAAACAAAATCATATATAAGTATTCTTGATAACATAGTAATACCAGCTTCAAGGAAGTGTAGAAAAAATATGTATAGGGGCCGACCGAGTGGCGCATTGGTTAAGAGCTGGCTTGGGACACCTGCTCTGTGCAGCAGGGACCCGGTTTGGATCCCACATGAGTGCCAGTGACACTGCCCTCTACAGCTAAGATGGTGAACAACAGCTCGACCTGGAGCTGGGCTGCCATGAGTCGCTGGCGACGCGTAGGCTGCAGCCCCTGCTGCAGTGGGGTGCCATAAGTTACCATGTATGCTGGCAGCCAGCGTGAGCGGCTGGCAGCCAGTGTGAGCTGCCAAGAGTCGCCGTGAGCGGCCGTCCAGAGGCCAGCAACCGATCTGCCACACCTGGGAAGAGCGCAATGATAATACCAACATGGGCCAGTGAAGCAATGTCCTCCACAACTAGACTGAAGAACCAAAGAACAGCAACTTGTCTGTTCCCCTTCCCTGATTCCCCTCTCCCAATTCCCCAATAAAAAAAAGAAAAAGAAAATATGTATCAAGTTCCAAAATCATTTTTTTCTTAATATATGTATAGATATTAATATAATATAATATAATATAATATAATATAATATATATTATATATATATATATATACACACACACAACTAACTTTTGAACTTTAAGAAATTCAAGACATCCTCCAATTTGATTTTCGTGAACTATGAATTTAACTGGAAATAGTCTTTATCGGTAGAAGTTGAGGAATCAACAATGCTTCCCACCCCCACCCCCACCTTTTTTCCTTACAAGGTTTTGAATGTGCTCTGTTTTCACGTTGCAATGAATCAGCCACAGACCAATTTTTGTCATCAGTCTTTTCAGTCCCATTGTTGAGTTTTTAGATTTGGGCTCCTGATGAAATGAAGGAGCACAAGAATCAGTCAGGAACACGGAGAGTTTTCCCTCCAACATCCAGATATGAAAAAACCAGCCATTTATGCCTTCTCGACAGTGCTTGTACCGAGAGACCAGCTGTCTGAATGTTGCCTTTGTGGACTGTGACTGACTAAGTGACAGATGGGACCCGGTGGGCTTGTGTCTGAGCTCAGGAACTCTTTGTGTTTGATGTGGGATGGACAGGCCTGACTCTTAGTGCTTCTTCCTGCCAAAGCTGGGGTTTGTAATTTTCATCGAAACCCTAGGGCCATCTTAGGCATGACCAAAAAGCACCTTGCATGTTGAACCCTATCTAATTATGTGAAGTGGATAAACTTGAGACACATAAATCTCAGTCATTGGAGCAACTTGTTTTTCTAAGATGCTCCGGTCCAGTGAAAGATAAAAGCAAATAAGGGAGAGATTGATCTCCAAGCGCTTTTATTGTCGGTGCTCCACACATCATAAAGTTTGAGCTCGTTAAAGGAAATTCCATAAACAACTTTAGTTAATAGTGGTGAAGTAACTGTGCCTTTCGGGAGCTTCTGCTGAACTCTCTTTCTGCTTGCCATTACAAGAGCATGATTAAGAAAATACCAACAGGATGTGCAAGAGGGAGGAACAGACTACACGTGCAAGCCATCCGGATGCTTGATGGATGAATAATAAGACGAGGGAATGCGGCCATATCTGCTCAGAGTTGGTTTTGTGGATCTCTAGCTACTCATTTGAGTAAAATCTGCTGGCTTGCTGGCATGGTTGGTGTCTTTTGGTCGTGAGGCTGACAGAAAAGTGCCTGATGGCCTCTTCTCCCCCTGGTATTTTTGATAGTACAGAAACATCATAAGGATGTGATACATGGAAAGAATTGAGCGTGAATTATACTGGCAAGATTGTGGGTAATTGTCACCTTTTTTTTTAACCTCTGGGCTTATGAAATAACAATGTTTAATGGCCTTGTCACTCTGGGTTTAATAGTGACGGTGTTGCTCAATTTTTATTTCAGATTGAGGCAGATTTGGGAGGTGATCATGAAGGGCATGGGGAGAAAAAAAGGGAAACAAGGCTCTATTAATTTTTTATTGTAAGATTTCCCAGAATTAGTGAGTTTTTCCACATTAACGCAGTCCTCAGTGTCAGTGTGATGGTGTTTGCAAAGATGAAGTCATGGAAAGTGTATCAGGTGCATAAAGAACTATATGGCCCATGTTCTCTGTACCAGCCATTTGGGAGTGTGTGCAGAGGGAGGGAGGGAGAGAGGGAGGTGCTGAAAAAATGGAAAGGGGAAAAAAAAAACAGGAGGATTTTATTATTTTGAAAATAAACACAAGCTATCTGCTGATCTTTTAAAAAAAAAAAATCTTGGCATATTATATTCCAGAATCTACAGTTGATCGTTTCTAGAACTTTCCCCTGAAATGGTGACCTGTGTCTTAATAACTCTTCTTTTATGCTCAGTTGCTTTTGTTTGGTTTTTGACTTTGGGTCCTCTCTGTAGCTGTAATTAGGAAATAATCATCAACCAATTTTTTGTTAGCACTTGGACACACTTCCAACTGGTTGGTTCAAGACCATGCTCTCAGATTTCATAGCATGTGATCAAGAGTACATGCTTTGGGGACAGATCATTTGGGGGTCAAAGCTGGTCCCTGACATTTACCAGATGCACAGTCAGGTCCTGGCAATTTACTGCTCAAAGCTGATATTCCTCATTTCTAAGGTAAGGCTAATAAAAGTGCCTATGGAAAGGGGTTTTGTAAGGATTGAACATCACACGTATAAGCAGAGCACCTGGTACATAAGAAACGCTTGGGAAACGTTAGCTGTGATTTTCTTGATACTACCAGATATAAGAAAATTTCTTCCATAGGGCTTCTTGGTCACCTGACCAGAAACGGTGATGACCCTTAAATGTAATCCATTAATGTTTTGGGATGATTTCACCTGCGTCTGAAGCCAGGTGATTGCTAGTGATGAACAAAAATGTCTCCTTTCTTTTGCATCAAGGAGGTGACATTTTGTTTTGTTACATTAGCAGTGGATTACATTGGTTTGTTTTTTCTTCTTTTCTGTAGCCTGCAAAATTGGATATTACAAGGCCCTCTCCATGGATGCCTCCTGTGCCAAGTGCCCACCCCACAGCTACTCTGTCTGGGAAGGAGCCACATCATGCACCTGTGACCGAGGCTTTTTCCGAGCCGACAATGATGCTGCCTCTATGCCCTGCACCCGTAAGTTGTGTGCTTGTCTCCCATTTCCGTAATACCAATAGCTTTCATTACCACCTAGCAGGGCACTGCCAGGTCTTCCTCCTCCCAGGATATCCATGCAGGGGCCAAATTCGATCCAACAGGCATCTTTTCTCAATTGTAGCAGGGGAGATGCTTATGAAAAGAAAGGATCTTTCTCGCTCCGGCTGTTCTGGTTGCCTTCAAGATGTACAGCTGCCAACAGACCACTTTGTGGAGCGGAGGCTGAGCATTCAGGCGTTGTCTGACAGTGTAATTAGCGCTGAGATTGGAGTTTATAAATGGCTTTACCATTTCACTGAAGACTCTTGGGGAAGCTTGACAGCTGCGGGGGAAACAGGTACTCGGGCAGGGTTCCGAGGGTGGGATCGCGTGTGGACAAGTGGTTTCAGTTTTGTGTGGTACTGATGTCATCGTTTGCATTGTCATTATCCTTCTTCCGTCTTTCCTCATAGTTTTGTGTTCATAACATTTAGGCTTGGATCCTTGCTTCATGCTAGGCACTCCATAAACGCTGGGTTAATGAACGCCCAGGGTTGGCACCTTGGTATGCAGGGGAGTAGAGAAATCTTTCTTACACTTTATATGGACAGTGTTCCTAGGAGTCGGCATTCCTTTCATGTGCGCTCAGGGCTTCACAGACCTGGCGATGACTATGACCTTCACCAGAACAGGGAGTGCTGTGCCCAGGTATTCTACCCGTATGTTTCCCTTCGGTGAGTCTGGAAGGACAGAGCCTTGTGTCCAGGCACACAGGCTTTCCATGGGTTTTGGCTGTTTCCCAGCCCACCATTTAGAAGCTGAACGACTGCTTAGACTTTCAAGCCTCAGCCTCCGCTTCTGTGGAATGGAGTTGAGAAGAGTCCCTCTTTCATGGTTACTTCTACTCAGCATCCTCATGTTGTTTGCATACTACATAAAATGCAGAAACCGATGCTACTGGATGTATTTTAGTTTTAACTGTCATAATGACTATTATTTTGTCCCCTAACTACTGTGAAGTCCATCTCGGCCGGCCTGGAGCCAACATCCCTACAAATAGAAGTATTTTCCAGTTTGGGAGCAGTTAGGCCAGTGGTGAGGCTATTATCCAGCCCAGTCATGATCCACCTTTAAAAGGAGTGGGGAGAGAGATTGTAGGCCCATCCCAAACTTGTGCTGAAATTGCCATCCCCTCCGGAGTTTCTTTTATAACCATAGGCAATAATAATAACAATGACCATTTTATAATTATACCCAGGTGATGTATTAGGCTTTCAATACACCTTATCACAGGGCTCATATTATAATAAATCTATAAGATAGGGATCACCTTTATTTTAGGGAGGAGATCACTGCCAGCTCAGGGATGACCATGCCCAAGACTCCACCCCAGCTTAGTGATAGGGCCGCACCACCAGAGGACTCCCATCATTGCTACTTACCGGAGTCATGGGAGCTACTCCAGGTCAAGCACAAGCTTCCCTAGGGCCAGCCTTAGGTGTGAACGTAAATGGGCAAAGATTTCCTTGTCATCTTCTTTTTCTGGTCCTTCCACAGACAAAGTACTTTTCTCTGGATCGCCACATACATCTGACAGGCTGAAGTCCGAGCCTTTTCTGTTTTTTTCCAATCTACATGTGCTTATCTCATGTTCCACTGTGTGTGATGACTGTACTAATAACCTTTTGTCCTCTATCCATACCCACTGCTGGCACTTCTCCAGTGGTGGGTTTTTAGCAAACTCATAGGGAATTATTATGCGCTGACAGTGTGATAATTGCCATCAAGCAGTTTACCACCTACGGTCCATACAGATGAATCCTTCTCTTGGTTGGGGCTTGATTGTGTGATGCACCTCATAAAATTCATCTTTGATGGCAAGACAGCGTGGCTGTTTCTCTCAGGTATATTTAGTCTCAGGATTCTCATCTGTTGCCTAGCATTCCAGGGGACCATGGACCAATCACTTAATTATTGCGGCTTGCTGGGTGGAAGTTTAGGGAGACTCCAAAGATTGCCACAAGCCTGAGTCACCGGAACATTTGCTGGATGCATATGTGTTTTGCTGAACCCTTGAGATTTTATGTTTCTGTAGGAATAAATTGTTGCCTTTCTCTGGAGGATGCAAATGAGAAAAGGCAAGTATTGACTTTTAGCCTTTTAGCATATGGGTGAAACAAAAAGTTTAAAAACTAGAGTAACTCTTGCATTTTTTTAGAGAGGAAGACTGGTGGCTTTTTGTGTCATTGATAAAAGGTCCATGAAAATACCAAAGCAATAGGGGATCAATATTTTCCCCCCCGATCCATCCTCTTGGAAATCCTTCTATACTTCACAAACTCAAACTCTTAGCATTATTCTAATGTGTATTACATCCCTCTGACCCACATTAAGAGGAAACACGGTGCTGTTACCACCACAAACTTGTGAGGTTGTTTAACCTCTCCAAGTCCCAGTTTACTCAGCTGTGGAATGGGATTCTCACTGTCCACCTGTGGGGTGGTTTTAAAATTTAAATAAGAAAATGTTTGCAAAGGTCTGGCACATGGTAGGGATCTAAAAATGTTTGTTTTCGTTCTCTCTCTGTCTCTCTCTCTCTCTGTCCCCCCCCCCCCCTCCAGCTGTTCACTTCCTTCCCTAGACTCCCTCCATAGCAGATTGCCTGTGCATGTCACCGCTTCCCTGTGGTGATTTTCTTAC